TTCCTGTTGTGTGGACTGAAAAAGAAAAAGGGAAGATTTTGGGCCTGAGCAACTGAAATAGGGACAGTGGGTCAGGGTAGGTTTTAGAGGAGAGTCCGGTTCTATCTCATGGATAGAGGTTGGTAATCTGTTTGCTTGTTTTCTTTAAGGATCTTCCTAATGCCATGAATGCAGCAGAGATCACAGACAAGCTCGGCTTACATTCCCTTCGCCAGAGAAACTGGTACATTCAGGCTACCTGTGCCACCAGTGGAGATGGGCTTTACGAAGGCCTGGACTGGCTCTCCAACCAGCTCAAAAACCAGAAGTGATCAGAAGCAACCCATTCCCTGTGCATTGTGGCAAAGCCAGCTGGCTGTTCCTGTGTGCATGTGAGCGTGTGAGGAGCCCATGGGGCTGTGCAGCTGGGAGTGGGGGCAGCTTTCTCACACCGTGCCTTATACATGCTATACGAGAACCAGTATTCCATTTTAAGAAAACCAGTGTTACATTTTGAATGCTACCTTCCATTTCACTAGCTTTGATGGTCATTTTGCTGAGGCCCCCTGGGTGTGATAGCTAGAGCAGCTCCAGGCTAGAAAAGAGAGCTGGAGCCAGACAGGTCCTATTGTTGCAATCCTGGGTCTGGCATCTCCACACACCCTGAATCCTGTTGGATTTCAGTGTCCTTTTGTAAAAAGAAAGGAAGGAACTGTCATTCTTTCCCATCGTGCCAAAGCTAGCAGCTCACTTGTACTTTAAAGACATCCTCAAGAAGAGAAGATATGTGATTACCACAGGTTGAAGAGGCTCAGGGAGGGTGCTTCCTCCGAGTTCTGTTAGTTCAGACCGACTTGTTTAGCTTGTTTTAGTCAAAGGAATCGGTGACCTTTTTCATTAGAGTATCAGACTGTAACACTAAAGAAGTTTCCAGCCTGTCCCTGGAAGTTGCCAGATGGAGACCCTGTGGGCTGGTGGCCCAACAGGAGGCCAGGACTCTTCCCCGAAGCCGCCTGGTCCACAGTGAAGTGTAGGCTGGCTGGAGGAAACGAAGTGAGGTGGCTCTTGTGTTCTGGCATCACTGTCTCAGGCCCTAGAGGCTGCTGCTCCCACTTCCCTGCTCTGTGCTGAATGGTCTTCACACGAAGCAGACAGCTGCTCCTGGGTGGAGTCATCACTGTGTCCAGTTGTCCTAGTCTACTGTAGGCTTTTGGTTAGTATCTGTTTGCAGAACTGCACACCTATGAGTTCTGAGAGTTTGTGAGAAAGTTATGAGGTTAATGTAGGGGATGAAGTTCCCAGTGACCCCCTGGTACTCCCTGGGTTGGTGCTAAACTTCGCTCTGACAAGCATCTTTTACCTAGACGGCTCTGGTGCATGGACTCCTCCTCAATGGCAGTAGTGTCTGAAGAGCTGTTTGGAAATGTGTGCTGTGTTGTCCTGCAGATAGTGATAGATAGGAAGGTCCGGAGAGGAGCTGGGCTCAGCCCATGCCCTCTGGCCACACAACTCTTGGCCACATTTGTACCTAGGCCCTTCTGCTTAACCTTTAAACCCCCTCTCAAAAAATCTTGATTCCTATTTTAGGAAGGGGACTACAAGCTGAATTTCAAGGAACACGATAAGCCTTGTTCATTGGTAACGAAGTTATACTAGGAAAACAAAAAAATCTTTGCCATTGTAAATGTGGGCTGTGATGATTTTCTCTAAAAATCATCTTAAAGAATGTTCATTGCAATACCGGCGACTAAGTCCAGTTGTGATTTTTAACCACAGATAAACTCCTGAGAAATGTTGAAATTGTACACCTCCCATCGGCAGGGAGTTTCTTGCCCTTTGTAATTATGCTTAGTGTGCCTGGCCTGGTGCTAGGCTGCAGTAAATGTGGTGATTGGTTAGACAATAAAGAACTTACTTGGGAAGGGGGAGACATGGTCATGTACTCCTGGATGTCTGAACTGAGTCAAGTCTCTTTCCTCTTATTTCTGACTCTCTCCTAAAAGCTCTCAGGACACACACACACACACACACAC